TCTTAACAGAGAAGGTAATTCCTAGGATCTACCATGTGTCTTATGCAAGTCAGATGTTATTTTTTTATCATTCGGGTTTTTTCCCACATTTTTCTTGAGTGTTCCCAATGTTCTGCTTATCTGGCAGCCATGCCCTCCTCAGGGTCACTGTGCTTTGACTGAGAGGGGGAAGAGAGACCTGAGATCACATTGCAGCACATTGATTTGGAGCAGGTGCAGCTTTGAGATGGTTTCTGCTATCTCAGCCACCTCCTATATTCCCGTCTGGACTGCAAACTTTATTTTTTCCTCCCCCTTTCCCCTCTTGTCAGGAATAATTTACTAAGCCTGTCCTTCATCTCTTTCCAAAGGTAAAGCTTGTGGAAGGAAAATAGCCAAGAGATGCCGAACCTTATCAGGGTTTACTTCCCTGCACTTAAGCTGTCAGCTGTCAGGGGTGGGATTTCCTGTTGGTTTCACTTAATTGTAAAAGAGAATTTTTTTGTGATTTATCTCATTGGTTCCCTTTTTTTTTTCTAGAAGGGACAACATTTCCCCCTTTTAAATGTACTGTTTTTTCTTCTTTATATCATATAATGGTTGTGGCAAGTAGAATGGTTATGTTGTGTGAAGTGTAACTCTCATGACAGAAGACCATGTACAGACAGTATGCTCAGTGAAGCTGGACAGCCCCCAGGACCACTGCCTATTTTCCCCACCATGGAGGACATGTGATTCAGGTGCATAAAACACAAATAAGGGTCTGCTTTTTTCTCATGACAAGATGCAAGCAGATCCCATTGCTTCTGTTGCCTTGGCTCAAGATCTGGGAAACAACAGTCATGGGGACATTTGATAGCAAACCCACTCTGCTTGCAGGAGTCTTGTAAGGGATTTGTTTGCTTCCTGGAGATTAAATCCACTGCACTTAGAAAAGCAGGTTCTTGTGTCACTTTCCATGTTAGACTGACATTTCCCAATGTGCACCCATTGTCACAGGGTAGTATCAGTACAGCCAGCACTCATCAGCAGCGTGCTGTGTGAGGGACTGAGTGACTGGTCAGCTCAAAAAGCCGGCTTGCCAGGGCTCCCTCACACACATCAAGTCAGTCTCTGTCTCCACTTGCAGCTGCCACTGCAGTGGCCTGAGATGGCAGCTCAGTGCTCAGAAAGAGCTGGCAAGGCTGCAGGGGAGACCAGTGGGACACATGATGCCTGTCAATTGCTGGCCAAATCTTTAAAGACTTTTTTTTCCTGCCTTTTATCTGGTTTTATAAGCTACCTTGTTTAATGGTTTAATAGATCACTTGGGCAGTTTTGTTAGATGATTGTTTTAAATCCTTGGGTTTGCAATGTAACTCCCTAAAGGATTGCTGGAGCAGGGAGCTGTGAGACTGAGCCATACTTTGGAAGTGGTACATGGCAATGGCTGGGAGAGCCTACACCACCTAGAAGAAATGGTCCTCCTGCTCTTGTGCAGATGGGGCACAGGAACTTCCCATGGCACTTGTAAAGAAGTGTTGCAGGGATAATTCTGGACAGACTGCTCACAGTGCAAGAGACTAAAATGTCTGCAGCTGCATTGTTAAAAGTTACACAGGTAGTGAATTTACTTTTTCTATTTAGGGAACCAGCAGTAGTAAGCTCATCAGTCTAAAAAAAAAAAAAAACTTAAAAAATTAAGAATTTTCTCAGTATAAGGATGGAAAAGCTCAAACTTCTTACCAGCACTATCGCGTAATGTCAGGGAGATTGTGCATGTTTATAAAGTACATTGCACTGGGAAATTTCAGGCTTTAATGTGGATGTCCTTTCTTTCCACCATGTGAGAAAAAGGTGGAAAAAAACCCAGCTGCTCAGTAAAATAAGACATGAGAGACCAGTGGGTTGCAATAATCCAAAGTGAGCTAAAAATCCATGACAGAGAAGGACAAGACAATTTGCACATGTTGCACAGAGCAACTAAATCCAAGCCCACACCTCTGCCTGTTGCTCAGGCTTCCACAGAAGAATATGATCAGCTGTTAGATCTCCAGTAGCCTTCAAGGTATTTATGGAATGAGGAGCTGCTAAACACTAGCTGTAGGGTCTCCCTAGGAAGTTGCAGATTCTAGAATGCATAAGAGAAAATAGCTTCGTGGCAAAGAACAGAGTAGGCTACAGATCAAAACAAATGTTCTAGCCACCATCTTTTCCCATTCTGCAGCTGGATTTGTTGTGTAAATGGGCTGAACACACACCACTGCCACAATTTTAGCAGTAATCTTCAGGGTGCAGTCTCAGTAGGGATTTTCACTGTAGCAATGCAAGTTGTCCTGTACTGTTGCAAATTGGAAGGCAGTCTTTGCTGATCTGAGCAACTGGCTCAGATTTCCAGTAGGTGCTTCAGAAATGAAGTGTTGTAAATTAAATTACTAGTGTTTCATTCATGCCTTCAGTCTAGGGATTGTTGAAAGCAGGCCCTTTGAATTCTTACAATTAAAAAGTAAAGTTTGCTTCTGAAGCTATCATGTCTCCTATGCCCAACCTTCTTTCTTCATTAGCATTCAAAGCCTAGGAATACTATTCCCTGTTTGATTATATCTGTGGTGATCAGCTGAAAGGTAGCGCTGTTGTTGTTTAGGGATTCCAAGATGTGAAAAGCTGAGAAAATGCTTTATACCAATCAGCTAACTGCAGTGGCAGCAGAGCTGTGGCTGTGCAATAGTCCTGTTTCAGGGAAGGGCTTCAGTTAAGAAGGCAGCTTGTGGTTTATTTCATCTCAGGATCAAAGCATTTTTTTCTCTTTCTGACCACCATTTACTGAGTTTATACTGTTTTAAGGTCAAATACATGAAGTTCTCTTGACATGAGCAAGAATGATAGTTGTTGCTGGCATACAGGTGGGTCGTATGGCCAGCCTCATGTGTTGTCCTTTGCTTCTGTCTGTGTGGCAATGAAAACTGGAAGTTATTTTCCAAAAATGTTATCATCATGTTTCAGACCAGACACAGTTGTCTGACCACTGGTAAAGAAACCATTTGAAGCCCAAAGACAGTAAAAAAATTAATCACATCTAGCAAAATGTTATTATAAATATCCCTGTCACCCACCATGTTGGCTCAGCCACAGGACCTTCCTGCCCACCTCTGCACCTGTCCCACCAGCACTCTGCATGTACTGGCTGCTGTAAAGAGGACCACTAAGAGGATGAAGGCTCTGGAGACCCCTCAGGCCCTTTACTGTTGATGGGCTACAAGGTACCCACTTACTCATCAGTCTCCTCATGGTCCTGGAAAAGCACAAGTTAGGTGTTTTTTTTTCCCAAGTAGTTACAAAGAACTTATTAGGAGGACGTGGAGTCTCCTTGGAAACCTTAAGATGTAGCAGTACAGGCAAACTGGTTGAGGCATGGTTGGCTTTAAATCAACAGTCTTGAGTTTATGCTAGTTGAAGTATTTAAGAGAGAATACAAACCTTTTGATGATCATATCCATGATGTGCATTATTTTCCCTCTTCTTGTCTTAGGGCGTACTTGGCTCATTCTGTCCTGCATAAATAGAACAAATGTCCCACAGCTGGATATCAAATCTCATGGAAATGCTGTACATGAGGAGTATGAAACTGTGCCCTACCATGTGTTTTTTCTGAAGCAAGAAGGGTGACAGTTGCTAAATAGCTTTATATGAACGATTCTATTGCAAAATCTTGTGCTGTCCTTTGGATAGATAGTGCTGCACAAAGGAGGATCTGTCAAGACTAAAAGCAAGTATGGAAATTAACCAGTACAAATTGTTCATGCTCAAAGAATACATTTATGCTGTGTAAAAGGAAAACCAGTGGCCCTCATAGGACTGCACCAAATAGGGTAAGAAAGCTGGATTAAGCAGTTCTACTGTGTATAGACAGGTCATTGCTAATTACCTGTGATGGTGAAGATAAGGGAATTCTGCTTGGCTTGTTAACACACTGAAATAAGCTATGTGACTTCTGTCTGGTTTGGTTCTTCTAAAGTTTCATATACAATGGCTTTAGGGCTGGAGAGAATATTTCACATTGTATAATTCACTATAGATAAAACTGCTCATTGACTCTATAAAAGTGCTTCCTTGGGCAAAGTCTAAGAGAAAGGTCCAAGGTGCCTGTTTTTCTCTTGAGCCCTTTAGTGTGTTCTCAGTCATTATTTGGTCAAAGTATTTTGATTTTATTTTCCTGGTGTTTGGGATAATATCTTTTGTAAATCCAGGGATAACTAGGAGAAAAGCTGACTGTGTTAAGGGATTCTCAGCAGGAAAGTAAAGCTTAGCAAGGAAATTAGAAAAGGGTATGTATTAAGTTCTGCTGCAATGAAACAGCGCTTTTTAAATTTGAAGATACACATAGTAAGTGCTCTCAGAGCAAACTGGTAACAGCAGTTTGACTTAAGAGAAGACCCTAAGAGAGAGACTCACCCAATGTAACTTTATACATAGGATGTAGCCATCCACATCAGAGCTAGTCATGTAACTTCCCTTCATAGTCATCACAGACATGGGCTTCTTCAGGACATTAACATGTTGGCTTACTTAAGTGCATGTCTGAAGTGGAGATGAAATGTGTGCAAGTATCAGTTCCCCTCCATGAATAGAAAGGGATTGCTGAGTGATTGTTCAAGTATCTGTAGCTGGTAAAATGAAACCTAATCTATGAGACAATTTCTGGTGTTTATTTCTTCTTTCCAGGGTAGGCACTTTCTTATCATCTGGGGACTTCAGCGAGTTGCAATCTTTGCAGAATAATCCTGATGAGTGAATAATGTGTGCCAGCCTTTGGGGTGAGGGCTGTCTCTCTGTTTTGTGTTCATACAGCTCCAGGTACAGCAGGGTCCTGTCCCAGGATGGACCTTGTGTACACTACCACAACACAGATAATCAATAACAGCAGACTTAATTAGAACTCTGATCAGTCTCTCTTCCTTTCAATTCTCTGTGTTTTAAGTTCCTGTGATGTTTAAATGAGGTTTGATAACAATTCTCTGTCTCTCATTCCCCCTATCCCACAGGAGCACATTTACAAGCTGATGAAGAGTGACAGCTACGCGCGCTTTCTGCGTTCGAACGCTTACCAGGACTTACTGCTGGCAAAGAAGAAGGTATCTGTTGGAAAGGACATGCTTGCATCTCTTAGCACGTCTTGATTCTCGCCTGCTGCTTGCTGCTAGTGTGAAAGTGAAAATATTGTTTGCTTTTTTTTCCTTTAAGAAGGGAATGAGCACTTTTATCTTCTTCACTGGGGGCATGGCATCCATGTGCACAGCCTCAGCATGAGTTTTGGGGAAAACATGGTGACCCGAGGTAAAAGTAGTATGGGAAGGTGTTTGTCTTGCACAGCTGTCTCCCAAATTCAGTGTAGGCAATATAAATTGTATTACCTCCTTCTCATGGAAAAGATGGTATGTGATTTGAGAAGCAGAACCCATCAATCTGTTCATTACTGGTGCAAAATTCACCTGTAAAGGTTTTTACCTCCCTAGTCTCACGTGATATTCCCTTTGGATGCCTTACCTATAGATCTCTCTGCAGCAATTCCCGTACTCCTTTTCCGTGCTTTTGTCTCCCCAATGATGCTACCTTTTCCTCAGAGACAGGAAATAATTGCAATGCATGTAGTAATCAAAAATTCCAGCCACAGTGTCTCACAGGAAATCTGGGTTTGAGCTCTTCTTAGCCTTTTTGGTATCTGCATGAGCTCTGCCAGCACCATGATTCTGTCAGGAGCCTCCAGATCAGGGTAGCAAAGGAATAGTTATGTAAGGTTACAACTCCTGTCCTCGAGTCCCCTCATTCTAAGAGGTCTAGGAGATAAGCTACTGATTTCTGTGTTTGTGGCTGTGCTCAAATGCTTCCTGCAACTCCTGATTAATTCCCATAGCTCTATGTGTGTGTGTGTGTGCATGTGCATGCTATGTACATGTGTGTATGTCCCACTTGCATTTGGCTCCCAGGACTGCACATAAACTGATTCCTGACTCCTGCAGCCTGAGTGTGTGGTTTCCCATCACCATCTTCCCTGCTGTTTTTCTGCTGCATTCTCTGTGTGCTGCCAAATTACATTGCATCGGCACAATACAATGAAATCCCAGTGGTATTTTTGTCCTGATTGTCATTGTGTGGCCTAAAAGCATGCATATGGTGACAAAAGGAGACAAGCCCCTCTGTCTGCTGTGCCTGAGACTACTGGCAGGTGGATTAGCAAAAGGTAGTGGAGGGCAGCAGTCAACCTTCTGTTACAAAATGTCTGGTCTGAGACAACATAAACCAGTGCTGCTTACATTTAGAAGGGTTAGACCTGACTTAGTTCAGAGACTGGGTAATGAAGGGGGTGTGAGGCAAAGTCTTCTGATGGTACAAACCATAAAAGCCTCTGCCATCTTCCTACCCCCAGCAGCTTATGCCCCCCCTACCCCCCAGTCTCCATTGAAAACATGAGGGTACTTGTGCTTGAAAGCCAGGAGAGCTTTCTCCTCCCAGCCAAACCCATTCAAAACAAAGACTTATTTTTTGCAATCCTTGTTTGCTGTCAGATCAAGCCCTGGATGTGTCAGCATGACATCCTCATCCCCCTGCAAACTGCCTCAGGAGCAGGTTTTGGTGTCACATTAACGCAACCGTGAAAGTAAGAATCAAGTTTCTTTTAGAAAGAACTGTGGGTGCACAAGTAAACATATGAAGGCACAAAAAAGGCAGGAGTAAATCAGTGCAGATGTGCTGTTCAGCAGCTGCACATTATGCAGGAGGGGAGTTGGTGTTACTCCAGAGTCGGTAAAGTTCTTTGCAACCACATTACACTGTGTTGGGCAAGTGAATGTTTTGGAAACAGTAGGTACAGAGATTATGATAGAAAGAACATGACATTTCCGTACGCTGAACTACATGGTCCTATCTTTAGGATGTTTGGTGCAGCTTTGAAAGACAGCCTTTTGAAATTCCTCTAAATAGGTAGAAAGCAAGGGAATGAAAAGAGGAACTCAGTGACACATCAGAGCCGGCATGGATGGAGAATTTGGTTTAGAGCCTGCAAAAAAAGTCACGGATTTACTGATGTAAATAGAAATTCACTGCAGTTCTTTAAGTTGTGATGAGTACATCTCTCTGAGGCCTGTCTTTCCCCAGTGTCATTATCCTCACATGGCTTGTATACTACACTGATGTGACATAGCTTACTTTCATAACTGAAAATAAGTTTTGTCAGAAGCACAGCATGATGGACGGGGGGTAAAAAGAGTTGCCCGCACTAAGCAAATTAGCTACGGCTTCAGATTCCCACATTAATATTTTGTGGATAAGTTTGTGTCATTTGGGATCTTTTGCCTTCCAGCACTGGGTTATGGCACACTGAGAGGGCAGGCAAAAGGGAAAGGTAGACTGTGTGGCTAGAGCACAGAACTGGGAACCATAAAATCTGTATGCTTTCCGTGGTTACCCCACTTAATTTCATGTGTGAGCTTGGGGAAAAAAAAGTTCACCCTATATCCTCCTCTTTTTCAAAGGGCAATAATAATAGCGACCTGCTCAGCAGAGAGATGCCAAAGCTTGATTAGTGCTTCAAAACATACTTCACATTTCTGGTATTTGTCAAATACTGTAAGTTTGAGAGTTACTTTCTTCCGCACCATACAATAACCACAGATGTGAGAGCTTTCCCTGCCTGCTCTGGGAGTACAGTAATGGAGAGAGAACTTCTGGGTTGGGATTGAGATACAATGACAGAATTATGAGGGGAACATATTGTTCACACCACTAACTGATGCAAGACAGCAGACATAGGCTGCGTACAGACCAGACATACATATTTTGTTAATCCGTTTTAGATGTTTTTTCTCTGTTCTTCCCAGTGTCATTATTGCGAGTAACCACAGTATTACTGGCCTGAATCCTGCAGATTCATGGTGCTCAGCAGGGAACATGAGGTTGGCCTCCAGCAAGGGTGTGATTAGAACCAGTGAGCTGCAGAGGGGAAAAACTGGGTACAGTGTTCTGCCTTGAACAGAAGGCCTCCTCCCTGCCAGGCTGGAGGAGAGATGAGAACACAGCCCTGTCCTCAGGAAGAAAGGCCACGTGCCCAGCCCAGCTGGAGCTCTGGGGCTCTATTCCCAACCCCCTCTCTGCAGCAGGTAGAAACCATGGATCTGCTGAAGGTGTCTGGCTCAGGAGTGAAGGGCTGGATGTGCTGAGATCCCCGAACAACTTGCTGCGTTTTATTTATGCACCTATGCAACACGCCCTGCTGGTGCTAAGCAGAGTCAAGCACTGACCTGCTCCTGTTTCTGCTGATATGCACCTTGCTGCGGGGTACTTACAGCAGCTAATCACCACTGCATGGCCCTCCAGCCCTTCTCCACAGTAGCCAAAATGGTGGCTGGATGTCCTTAGACAGCAGTGATCCACCTGTCAGGACAAGTGCTGCGACAAACCTCCTCAGTCAAAGCAAGGAGGCATTGTGGCAGGGTGACTTGGCTGCAGAGCAGGGGTTTATTCCCTGGGGAAAGAGCATTGTAGATTAGCTAGTGCACGATGGAAAGGGATGTGAGTGCACAGGAACTTTTTTTGATGGTGAAGAAGCAGCCAGACACGTGCTCTGCTAGTTATTTGTGCAGGGGAGGGAGTGAAAGGAACAGAAAAGACCTCGAGGTACTTTCCATTACTCACTGTAAAGGTGAAACAATGACATTGGTTGGCATCTCTGCATTACTTAAGCGGCAGCTGAACTGTCACAGTGCTGATGTTCATGTCAGCCTGGGATGGGGTGGCTTCCTACCACCCAGCCCTGCCCATAGGCAGGGAAGCATCCTGGAAAGACAGCCACAGCTGTCGTGCAGACAGGCTGTGAAGCCATGGGAGTGAGCCCTGGAGCACTGAGGGAAGAGCAGGTTGGTATTTTCTTGGTTTAGAGCATTGTTTTGTTCTCCAGCTGGTTCAGGGAATTGTGAATTCACCATGATCCTATTCAAATAAACACACAATATATGCAAAATACTCTGGCCACTTGGTAGCACTGTACATGCCCTTTGCTTTCTCACTTTGGACAGGTAGATGTGGCTGCCTGAGAAGCCCGGGATCTGCTCCTGGCCTTTTCTGAACCCAGGGTCAGGGATATTATTATCCTTTATTTTCATCTGATCCCATTCCCTCCAGAACACATTATTTTTCACCAAATTCAAAATAAACCCCACTTCAAACCCCAAAGCCATCCCAAAAAAAAAGGATTCAATAGCCAACAAAATAAATCCATGGAGGGAGGGAGATAGAGAATTTTGTAGACCTTATGTTCAGAAAACTGCGTTTCTGTATGTATTTCCCTAGCCCTTTTCAGATCCCTTGCAAAAAGTGTCAGCAAGGGAATACTTAGGAGATTCATGCCATGAGGAGCAGGCTCCATTTCCAGCACACACCTTTTGAAGCATTGCTTTTAACCACACCCCCTATTGCCAGCTGCTCTGTATTGCCCAGGAAGGTTTTTGTTGCAGATTATGCCCCCTTCTCAGTCCCATCAGGGCACACATGGCCAGTTTGATTCAGTGGCAGGACTTCTCTTGAATGTTATAAAGATGCTGAGCAATTTTCTCATAATTACTTTTAATAGTCAGTGTCAGCTGTTTTTCTTAAGCTTTCTTCTACTTAATTTCCATGCAAGCAGAATCTACACAAAGGAACTTAAAGTTTGGATGGCTGGGTAAATGATTAAGAAAAAAAAAAGGAAAATTCAGAGAAGCCAGTCAATAATTAGTGAATGGCATCTCTGTGGTGAGCTCTATTTTTCTGTTGCCTGCCTGGGCTGAGAGGTTTTCATCAGATGGTTGTTTCATATTTGATCCAAATGCATATGTCCTTTGCCATTAGCTGGTGGAGTCCATTGGTGTATTTACTGGCAAAGATTGCATCTTTTGCACCTGGGAGGACTGCATGACCTGGCATGCACATGTGTTTGTCTGCCCTTGCCCTTTTGCATACACAGTGTATGTTTGTGCAAAGGCTGCTGTGGCTGCTGCAGCAGGCAATGGCTCCAGGGTCCACACCCCAGGTCTGTTCCCAGGACTGGGATAGGTGTGATTCAGTCTTTCAATTATTTATTTCTTTTTTTGCACTTTGTTATTTTTAAATTTCCTTCATCTGGTGTGCAAGGCAGCCTCTCCAGCTCAGCCCCGTGCTGCAGAGCTGTGGGCAGGCATTCCCTGCACGGCAGGCAGCCAGCCACACGGGCAGGCAGACAGGAAGAGCCAGCGAGCAGAGCAGCCAGCACCCACACCCACGGACATTCAAACTGCTCAAGCCAGCTCATCACTCTGCAGCCAGCCTGCCTCAGCTGCTTTTTATTTCACTAGAAAATGTCAGGCTTTGACTCAGAGCTGAATGTTACGGGGATGAGCTTTCCACTCATCCAGCTGGTCCCAGCCTGCCACCGCCATGCCAAATGTGCAAAGCACTGCAGACCGTGCTTTGCAAGGCACTTCTGTGAGCCACTGTCAGTGTTCTGTGTGCTGCTTCCCCACACGTCCTCAGCTGTGGTAGGCAGCAAACAGCCTTGTGTGGGAAGCTCTGCACCAGACAAGCTCTCAGCACCTCAACAAGGAGCTCATCGTCTTTGAAGACCACCATCCTGCCTTTCTGCTGGGTGGGAAGATGTATCACCTTGCTGGGAGAAAAAACAGATCTAAATTTTGACAGGGAGTGCAGGAGTGCAACGTGGCCTGTATAGCAGCTCACTCTCTTCTGACCCCAGTGCACACTAGAGCTCCACTTTAAAATGCAGCTGGGTCAGACACTGACTTTCCAGTCATACTGCAGACCCCAAGTGCCTTGCTCCCCTAAGGAGCCTTGCAGAACACTCAGTCTTTTGTTCAGATATTTCTTCTCCTCAAATTGTGTCTGTAACTTGGCTGCTGGTGGGTCTTACCACCCCTGCAGGAGACCTGCATAGAGGCCCAGTGCCCAGCTGGGCACTGCTCTCCTCAGTCCTGCTCCCTGGGACATGTCCAGCCAAAGTGGCAGGAATGCAGCTCCTCTCTGTCACCTCTGCTGTCTTGGGGTGTAGGGACACCACTGAGGCTACTTCCAAGAAGGAATCTGTGATGCTCTGAGCACTTGTATGACTCTAATACTCAGCCAAAGAGTGAGGCTGATGTTTCTTTTGCCTTTCCTCTCCTCTCACATCCAAAGAGAGGCAATTAACCCTTGGATTAGTGCATGATAAATACTCCTTTGGGAACCACTGGACTGGGTACATCACTGCCTTCCTGCCAGCCAGGAAGGCTCCTTTATTCCTTGGTACTTGCTTTGAGGCCTTGGCTCCATTCTCTGTCTGGGCTAAAATGATGTGCCTCTAGCTTTCACTTTTGATAGCACTTTGGGACATCAGAGCTGATTCTGTGGCTTCCTCAATTGGTTATAAGTGTGGAGGTTGCTTGTTTCTTTCTTCTGGATAAAAAATATTGTTTGTCTTAAAAGGGCCTTATGCTTTGGTCTCATATTTGGTGGTGCAGCAGGGATGATCTGTCCAATTTCTCCATGAGATGCTTAAGACTAACCTTATAGATATCAGAGAACAGTGAAAGCTGTGATAAACGTGCAGAAGAATCAAAAGGCTTTGCCTAGACTCAGCTACACAACTTCTCATCCAATTTATCTGGTATGGTTTTGGCTTCTTTATGTCTTCTCTATCGATTTTTGCATTGGTCCTTTGTTCTGGGGATTGTTACTGCAGCTGAATGTGTGGCAGATGGTATGTCAGGTAGGTGCCTCTCCAGTGCAGTGCTTGTTTCCAGTGCATTGTGATGCACCATCATTACTGTGGTTTTCCTTTACATGTAGCTCCTTATTCCCTTCATGGCAGTTTTACTTCCATCTTACCACCCCCATTTTGCTGGTTCACCACATTAAAATAAGTGTCTCTCCTGGAAATCTGCAGTGCTCACAGCTTCCTGACTGCAGTGAGCTTTCTTTTGTAGCATTGAGTTTCTTCTCTTCTCTATAACTATTTTTCTCTCTTAGATATTCCAGCAAACATGCCAATAAATTATTTAGTTCTTCCTTGTTAGTGGTGATTAGATCTCCCTTGTGCCAAATGAACGAAGCGCTGCAGTGAGAAACCTTCTCAGGGATATGTTAATGAAGCCATGATGCACACACTTGTTTTCTCAGTGCAATTGAATGTCTTCTTGCATATGAATAGTCCTGTACTCCAGGTACAAAAATATCAGTGCCCCGAACTTGTCTGTATCTTTCTGTTGTCTTGCAAAGACATGCATATGCTGTCTTGTGTTTTGACTTACTGGAAATACGCCTCTACTCTTTGGATAAATAGAATAGTATAGGTTTACTGGCAGTGAGTGCAGTGGTGGTTTTCTTCCCGTGCTGTGTCCACTCAGACATTGCTTTTTAATATTGCGAAAGCTACTGTGTTTTTTTCATCTCTCTACACAAGAAGATGGGAGCCTCTGATAGCTGTTTGGCAGATGTTAACCAGAATCAGGCGTCCCCACTTGAACAGTAACAGAAGGAAAATTCAGCGAACAAGAAATCAATACCAACAGCTGTAAGACACAGCAATGCACAGACATATATGGACCATTCAAAAAACTCACAGGGGAAAAGTGACATTCTCTGAGAGTACAAGTAGTGATGTCTCTCATTCTTTAAGGCGTTTTGATTTCTTATGTTTGCTGTTGCAAACATTGATTTCTGCTTTTTACATTTTTTAACAACTTTTTCTTCTTGCTGCTTCCTTATATTTTGCTGCTGTTTTAAAAGACTGCATTTAAGCTGAAGGGTTTTTTTCTGTATTTTTATCTCCCTTCTTCGTTCCCTGTTAAGCCAGAGAATGAGCAAGGTCGTAGAACTTCTCTAGAAAAGTTCACTCGCAGCGTGGTAAGTTCCTTTTCTTTTCCCTCCTCCCTTTCCTCAGAACTTCATTTTCAGCTGGGGGAAATGTGGATGCTTGACTTTTTATTTCATCCTTTATTTTTGCAGCAAGCATCTTTGCAGCTTCTCTCTTAATACTGTAGCTCATCTAACTAGTAGCTCTAAAGAAGGGGCTGGGGGTGGGGGGAGAAATGGCATAATGCTCATTCTAGCTTATCATCATTGCAAAACAAATTGATTTTTTTTGTCTAGAATTAAATACAAAGTTGCCTTTTTGCTGCATTCCCACTACAGTATTTGTTGTGGTTTTTCTTTGCACAATGAAGTAGAAGAGCATGGTTCTCATAGCTCCATTGCAACAGTATCTGTTTGGTTCTGTAGTGCATGGATAATGAAGCCCACATACATATCCACCCACAGCGCTGCAGCCGCTTCCTCCGTTGCGCCCATCTGTCAGCGCTCATGTAAATAGTGAGAGAAGTGCGATACCCTTTGCCTCATTCGTGATACCGATACCGGAAAAGGAGCCCAGTCACAGCAAGCAACATGACACTGTTAAATCTTTTAGACAAGGGGACAGCAGGACCTCAAGGGCAGCAGGCAGATGTCCTACCTCTTTGTCCTTCATTAGTCTCCAACCTCCAGTTGGTCTGTCCAGAGTTTGGGCAAGGCCTGCTTGCCCCACTTGCATTCAGGAATCTGTCTGTGCAGCAATTTTTCTACAGAGCAGGAGAAGCAGGAAGAGGGGGCAGGACCAGAGGCAGATACTGCAAGTGGAGTGGAGTAGCAGGGATGCTGGGCAGCACAGGTTGTGTTTTGAGCTGCATCAAAAACAGCATGACCAACAGGTTGTGAAAGGGGATTCTGCCCATCTACTCTGCTCTTGTGAGACTCTCACCTGGATCCACCTCTGGAGTCCCCAGGGCAGAAAAGACATCAACTGAATCCAGAGGAGGACCACAAAGTTGATTAGAGGAATAGAGTACCTCTTCTGCAAGGAAAGGTTGAGAAAATTAGGTTTGGTCAGTCTGAAAAGTGAAGAATTTGGGGTTATTTAATTGTGGTCATTCAGTACTTTAAAGGAACCTACAAGAAAGACGAGAAGGACTTTTTACAAGAGCACATTGTGACAGGACAAGGGCGAATGAATTCAAACTAAAACAGAGTAGGTTTAGATTGGATGTTAGGAAAAAATCTTTACTGTGAGGATGATGAGGCACTGGAACAGGCTACCCAGAGAACCTGCAGATGCTCCCTCCCAGGAGGTGTTCAAGGACAGGGTTAATGGAGCTCTGAGCAACCTAGTCTAATAAATGGTATCCCTGCCTGTGACAAGGGAGTTGGAACTACATCATATTTTGGTGGTTCCCACCCAAAGCATTCTATGAGTCATACTCTTGCAAGTGTGTATATATATTTGTATATTTATATGTATACTACATACACACTCATGGCATATAAATATAGCACCTTTGTACATCCTGAGAGAAACAGGAAGCTGTGCAGGTAAGTGTGAGCTGCTGTAGAGCAAATAAGCCGAGAGCAGTTCTTCCTGACACTGCTGTGCTACTGCACAAGCAAACCCAAATGTAACATACAAGGCTTTGTAGTACATCCACTGGCAGACTTCCTGGGGAATGTATTTATATAGCTAATGCATATGCACACATTTAAAATATGTTGATACAAAATATATCACTATGCCCATCTGCATATTTACTACTTTCTAAGAGTCTGCCAGGGAGAGGAGTAGGAAAGATTTTTTAATTTTTTTTTTAAACAAACTATGCAGAAATATTTACATCGAGTGGTAAATTCTGCTCCCAGATTTGCCAAGTATGTGGAAGAGTAACTCTCACTTTACTATACTGGCTGGGTTTATAGTTGCACAGCCAAGCATGGATTTTTCTCTTGCATTTGATTTGAAGAGTAACTTGACAAGCTAAGTTTGGGATGCTATGATTAGAATGTAAGTAGCTTTAAAGAAAATTGTAGTAGATTGGTTGGTACTTTAGTTCATTTTTATCTTACTGGCTAGCATGCTGTAAATAGTTTTTTTTCATTTCTCTTAATAAAGATATAAAATCTCATCTTCTGATGGCATGGTAGTTACCAGAACTAAGAAGAGTCTGAATTTTTTATACTTTTCATTATGGCAGTATGGCAGTTTTCTCATCAGATGAGAAAATAGTCACTATGTTGACATGTCATAATGTCCTCAGAGGACAGTATTACCAGTGAGAACTTTATGGCATACTCTGGGGACTGAATTAAGATGAAGTTAATTCTGTATGCTCTAGTTCTCCAATATGCAGTGCAGCTCCCTGACTGTGTAGGAGTGAGCAGTTCAACAGTCCATACTTCCAGAGCTCCACTGTGCTATGTGATTGCTCATTACAGGATCATATATTCAAGCTGGCCCTGCACAGGCATGACAAAGTTAAGTGTATGCTTAAGGTTTGGCTGGAACAGACCCCCAGTTTGTCTCTCTTCAAGGGAGGAGCACTGAGCCTATTTTGCAAGCAGATTAATATGAGATCACATTTCCAGTGATGGCTGTAAGAGAAATCTCAAAACTAGTAAGGGCTAAAAGTTTTGCCTTAAGGAGCCATAATTGAAGTGAAATTGTCACCCAAATTGACTAAACTATTAATTGCCTGTGGATCTGGGCCACCTCCAGACTGTGCTTCTCTGCCTGGCACTGGGGGGGCCAGTAGACCCCTAGGAAACTTTTCAGATTTGGCTATAGCATGTGATCCAGCATTTTGGGAAATCACAGAATCACAGTTGGAAGGGACCTCTGGAGATCACCTAGTCCAGTTCTCCTACTAAGGCAGGGTCACCTAGAGCAAGCTACACAGGCATGTGTCCAGGTGGCTTTGCACTGTCTCCAGAGGGAGACTCCATGGCCTCCTTGGGGAGCCTATTCCAATGCTCTGCTACCCTCAATGTAAAGAAGTTTATGGGACATAAGTCTATCAAGCCAATCTCTAACCCAGCCCTCTAAGTCCAAGGGGAAGTCTCCCTTTCTCCACCCTTCCTCTCTTACTTCCAAAGTCTGGGATTCCCAACTTCAGCACTAAAAACTGAGACATTCAGTAACCGGGCCTTCTCTGTGTCTTCTGTCACCGGGACATGCATCTGATTCAGCAGCAACCCCACATTTTCCCAAATTTTCCTTTTGCTGCTAATGTACTTTAGAAACCCTTCTTTTTGTCCTTCATATCCCTTGTCAGATTTAATTCTCCATAGGCTTTGGCCTTCTTTGTCACATCCCCACATACTCTGACTGTTCCTTCAGTCCTCCCACGCAGCCAGTTCCTTTTTCCACATCCCAGAATCTGTTTGAGATTTATTAGAAGCTCCCTGGTCATCCAAAGGGGTCTCCTGCCCCCTTGGCTTGGTTTCTTGCTCATGGCGATACCCTGGTCTTGAGCTTGGAAAATGTGATGCTTGAACATTGGCCAGTGCTCTTGGACACCCTTTCTTCTAGAGCCCTTCCTTTTACATCATTGTACTCAAATCTGGGGAACTTTGGGGAACACTGCAGGCATAGAGCCAGAGCAGGAGCATGGAGGTAGAGGTTCATGATCATTTCCTTGCTGAAAATACTGTACTTACAGTGTTGCTTTCCATATCAGAGAAAGCTGATTGTAGCCAGAAGACCAAACATGTCCAGCATCTTAGACAGGGAGTCTTCACCTGAGTGAAAAAAATCAGACGCTCTAAATTTGCCTTTTCTGGTTTCTTGGGTCTCACCATCTCTTGATTGACAAAGACAGGAAAAAATGCAATGCTTCAGAAAGAGAAACTGAAGAGAAACAGTAAAGTTTTGTGTTGACAAACTGCAAAGAGTATTGCAGGCTTTTTGTCTCTTACTTGAGTTAAGCCCCACCTGTGAAAAATCTTACAGGGCTCCCAGACTGGTCTCCTGCACTGGGTGGAAAGCTGTACACCTGGTTTTGGGTGCACAGACTTGGAGCAAGTGGAAGTTGTTTTACCCACAGGGCTCCTGCTTATTTCAGTCATAACTCAGGAGTCAGGGATTAGCTCCAGACCATTTGACATACTTTAGCAAGACACCATGAAGTTCTGCTAGGCAACCAGAGGCTCTCCACCTTCACATGGTTCAATGGGGAATAAGAAAGAACAGGGCTTTACATGATATTTTTTATACCAGTCTTCAACTCCTTCAAGACCCACTGTCTTGTCTTCCTTGGCTTGATACTTTTGGCCAACAGAAGGCATCTCATGACTAATGAATGCACCAAGTTTTTGCACCAAATCTTTCTGAAAGCCACATGCTATCTGGTCCACATTAAGCATGACACTAAGAGCAAGATTTTGACAGGGCAATTTTCCCTGTGGTGGTGGTTCACCTTTTACTTCCAGGTCCTTACAAAGTATCAGCTGACACCTTCGTGCAGTAGCCAAAAGGGGGTTTGGCCCACTGTGGTCAGATCCTTTTGTACCAAAGGGCATAGTTTGCAGTGCCTGTCTGGATTCCCCTTGGAGCAAGGGAACATCTGTCTGATCCAGCCCCCAACAAGCCAGGAACCCTCAGCCTCCTCAACTTACCTGACAGAAGTCTGAAGCTGTGATGTCCATGTGTTTCATGGCAGCTTTGTGGTCCCAGGACCAAACATGGTTTCAGTCATCTGGTGAGCATCAAAGGGCCACATCTGCATGGTGGAGCAGCGGAACACTACAGGGCACATGCTGCCCAGCACTGCTGGAGCAGAGGAGTGGCAGATGTCTTTTCTCCTCTCTTCAGGTCTTGAAGAGTCCTCACAAGTACATAGACAGCACAGTGGTAGGATAAACATCACAGTACCTGGCCCCTTTGGGCCTATGTCAGGTTCCCATGCTTTGGAATCTCAGGTATAAAGCTAGACTGGCACTTCATGCTCTCCAGGGTGCCCTGGGGAATGGTCGATATCCTGGAGCTGCAGAGCTGACAGAGCTTGGGAGCTTTTACTAATCCATCTCGTTTCAAAAAGGATGGC